TTTTGTATTGTTATTCCTGATGATGGCAGATGAAATCTGTCGAAAGCTTGAATAAATAAATGTGATTTTTGATAAAAATCTAATAATGTTCTTCGTAGCAGTTTTGTACTCACTTATCTCTCATTTATATGTTACTGCTCTTCAACCTAATTATTTATCTACTACTCGTTCTAAGTACGGCGATGTTACCTTTTTAACAATCAGAAAAGTCGAAAAACTTTCCATTAAACTTCAGAAGTCTAAATGCGATCTCGAATTCATTCGGTTATGTATTATTTATAAATTAACACCAACTTTTGTCAAAATTTCTCTTTGGAAGAAAAGAATGAAAACATCGAATGAATATAAATCTTTCCAATATTTTTGCCTTCAAGAATAATATAAAAATCGCTTTAAAGATAGTGTTAAATACGAAAAGGAATTAAAAGATCTGATGGACAATCTAGTATCAATATTAAGTAGTTATGATTTTGATCAGCTACAGAAATATTTATATGATAGATCTAAACGAACGAAAGAAATAACTATAATAGCGCATGAGAAGAAACTTAAAAAGCTTAATAATGGACCATTAGGTCAAGATTACGAATCCCTTAAAACAAAACTCGTTCATAATATATCATCGTATACTCTCTCTTCAGCTGAAGAACGTATTCTATGTCGAGGTTGGGAATTTTGTATTGAAAATAAATTAACAAATTTTATTGAATTTAAAACCGACATTGAATTAGGTGTAAAGAAATTAGAATCTATATGTCATCCTAACGTCTTTACTAATATTTGTCGGAAGATAAACAATTATTCAGAAGTATTAATTAATACAGTTAAGAAGAAGAAAATTAGGAATATATGCGATGAGGAATTTAATGCATTACAAACATTAAAGAATAATAAGAATATAATAATTTGTCGGGCCGATAAAGGCAATTGCATAGTTGTACTTAATAAGGAAGATTATATTGAAAAAGCGGAAGAAATCTTAAAATTAAAACAATTCAGACACACTGATAAATCATTATTAATAGAAAAAGAAAAGATTATCAATAAGTATATATTGAAATTATTTAAGGATAAAATTATTGATAAACAGCTATACTGGCGTATACATTCTACGTCTTCTTCTCTAGCCACTATGTATGGGCAACCAAAAATCCATAAGAATAATTATCCCCTTAGACCTATCATTTCTTCTATTGGTTCTTACAATCATGAACTATCAAAATATCTTGCTGAACTGATTAGAAATAATCGAACATCATTATCTTTCTCGTTTATCCGTGATTCATTTGATTTTGTTAGAAAAATATGCGGAATTAATAATAGTAAAGATCAAATTATGATTAGCTTTGACGTTGATAGTCTCTATACTAATGTTCCGGTGAATGAAGCAATCGATATAACATTAGATATGTTATTTAAAAAATCATCTCCACCACCTATACCTTTTAATCGGTCTCAACTTAAAGAATTATTAGAATTAGGTGTTTGTAACGTACCATTTCGATTCTTACAGAAAAATTACGTGCAATGTGATGGAGTAGCCATGGGCTCCCCTTTAGGACCCATATTAGCTGATATATTTATGTCTAATCTTGAAATTAAATTAAATAAGTTCTCAACTAACAAACCATCTTTATGGATACGCTATGTTGATGATATCTTCTGCATTTTTACGAAACATCAAAACGTTAAAGATTTTTTGAAAAGGATTAATAAATGGCATCCTAACATAAATTTCACTCCAGAGCACGAAATTGATGATAAATTAGCATTCTTAGATGTTCTCGTTATTCGTGATAATAAAACTGATAAATATGTCACCACTCTATATAGAAAACCTACCAACACTAGTTTATATCTTTTATATGATAGTAACCAATGTCGTAAATATAAAGTAGGATTAATCCGCACACTAGTAATTCGCATTTTACTCATCTGCTCAACTAGTACTCATAAAGATAATGAATTAACACTGATGAAAGAGACATTAAAAATTAATGGATATCCACAACATCTAATAAGAAGAGGAATACGAGAAGGACAAGCTATTGTTAATAAAATATTAAATAATACTCATAATAAACAACAGAACTCGCCTATTAAGAATAACATATTTCTTACACTTACGTATTATGGGTTAGAGTCAGAGGTTTTAGCACAAAGAATTAGAAAGATTTGTCGTCGATATTTACCTCTTGTCAATGTTAAGATAGCTTTCAAGAAAACGTTTACACTTAAGAAGATATTCTTACCTATACAAAAAGGTGTTGATGAAACGAAAAATGATAGAAAATTAGTTTATAAAATTCCATGTATTAATTGCAGTAAATGTTATATTGGAGAAACTAGACGTGAAAAATCTACAAGAATGAAAGAACATCAAAAAGACATTAGGAAATTGTCAGACTCATCGAATATAGTAAAACACGTTACTGAACATAAACATTCCTTTAATTTTAATCAAGCTGAAACACTATCTCAAGAAAACGATTGGAAGCGCCGAATAATAAAAGAAAGTCTATATACTCATCAATCATTAGGTCAATCACTTAATGATGTAAAATTTAAATTAAATGTTTTCGGATAACTACTAAAAGCCTTAGGGCAAATTTGTGGGCAACGGAAGTTCTACGAACATAATTATAATTCGAATTATAATTATCTATCAATTAAGTCGTTTGTAGTCCTATTATATGTTGTCTATATAAAGAGTTTCTTTCTTTTTTGTATTGTTATTCCTGATGATGGCAGATGAAATCTGTCGAAAGCTTGAATAAATAAATGTGATTTTTGATAAAAATCTAATAATGTTCTTCGTAGCAGTTTTGTACTCACTTATCTCTAATTTTTATCTAGTTCTTTGTAAACTCCGGGTGCAGCGAATTCCTGTTTGGCTAGATGAAAGTCGAAAATATTGAAAGTAATGTAACGATTAGCTTGATATCTTCTTTTCTATAAAACAAAATCTAATGTTCCTCATCTGATTCTACAGAATCATCCATGTTAAACTCGAAATTTGTGTTTAAAATATTGAATAGCTTATACCTGTCAAATTAAAAAATAAAAAAAACGCTACTGTTACTCGCTGAGATATGACTATCGAATGTTCATCATAGACTGACATGACATATATCTCCTCATGTTGAACCATTTTCCATATAAAGTCATAGGATTATTTTCATGCTCTATGTATTGTTTTGATCATACAATAACAAAATTATTACCAATGGTCTTTAGTTTGATTCTTTAGGTACATATATTATAAACTCGAAAGCCTTAAACTGCGTAAGTACTACACTTTACGTGCCCTGGATGTGATATACGCATCTACTTGGAATAAAGTTTCGAAAATTATGATGCGAATAAATGCCTCAAATGTTGCATAGCATTAATTCACATGATAGAAAAAGAATTGTAGCAATGAGATTTGTATTAGGAAAAGGACGCACAAGTAACGCAGTTTTTATCCTGTGACCGTCACTCAGTGTGTTGCTGTCATCTAGACTGAAAAACATGATGATTTCGATAATAAAATAATGACTGTGTATCATATAATACAATTACAAACATATCCATGAATTCTTTTCACGTAAAACGCAAAATTTTTTTTCAACAAGTTTTGACTTTCGAGAAAATCTATTAATGAACAGAAAGACATTTGATTTCGTTAAGATTGGACTGTATAAATCCACGAACTACAAAATCGACGACGCAATAAGATCTATTTCCTGAAATGCGACATTCGACACACTTTTTCACTATATATATTTGTGTGTTTTTGCAAACGAAGATATTTCTTCACTATTTGTTCATTTTCTAAGATGCGCTAGGTATTCTTCTAAGTTTCACTGAAAAGTATTCCAATCTTCATTAGAATTAAGATGATTTCGGAAACTATACAGCTTTCCTGAGGTTTTAATAAAAATGATCCTATTTTGCTTGAATATCAGAGCTTCTAATGGTAGCTACATATTAGCGGCTTTAGTCTATCATTTGTGGGTTAAATAATGTCGAACGCTGAAATCATAGGATGACTACAATTTGTGACGTATTATGAACTTCATTGACTGAAATTAAATATTTCTTTTTCGAAATATTCGAGTACATGAAAAGTTCCCAGAAAAACCTCATGCATCGAAAAAAATTTTGAAACTTTGTGATCACTGACGAAGGAGATATGCAACGCTTTGCCTATGATACATTTTTCAAAGTGATTAAGTAAGATTTCTATAAAATATCTGTAGTGAAATTTTTATGACATTTATGTTTTTAGCTTGTTTGCTCGGGAAAAACCTTTTTTCGGACTAAAACAAATAAAACCTGAATTTTTGTTACCATATTCTATCCTCCTAAACGAATCTGAAAAAACTGTGCATTCTACTTTTGAAACCAGATCCATTTTGTGTCTGAAAATCCATATATCAAGTTGTTTGTATGACCAACGCAGGTGCACAATCCAGTCATATCCGCTGTGGGCGGGGGTGCGGATGGAAGTG